TTAGAACGATAAATTTTTTTAAAAATTATGTAATTTGATTGGTTAATAATCACGGGAAATCACGGGTAGATCTATAAAAATTAACCAATCAAACGAACTTCTGTCTATGAATATATATACAGTATATATAATTTTGATCATATATACTTCGTTAACACACACATGTGAAACATATGTTTAATCAAATCATTATAATTACTTGTTTAAAATTATATTGACTACAAAATGGCCTTTCTAATTTAAAAATAAAATATGACGATTAATAGAATGCGTCAATTAATAATTGTCATAAATTGAGAAATGACGCATAACATATATAGCCCGATTGTCTCATTGTCCGGAGCGAAGCGGAGGACACTCTGTTTTTTACAACGCTGTTTGATCGATAATGTCACGTGAGTCTGTCTGTTTACCTGATTGGCTACTACTCACATGTTTATTATGTTTATTGATAAATACTAGTACAGTATAAAAAAATTTACAGTATGACAAATCGGTTGACTGATAGGACATGTCCTGTGACTGTTATTGTTACACTAAATTTTTAAATCTTAGATCTACATATCGGGGTATACAAATTTTTGTTTACTTTTTTACTGGTCTCGTAAAAATAATAATACAAGACCGACCTGCTTGCACAAAATTTTCACCTAACAAGTATCCATAATACCAACACTTATGGATAATGAAAAAAAAAGCTCGACTCAGAGTAGTCGCTCCTTCGAACCCCCGCTTATAATCAAACCTCCAAAAAAACCGAACCAAGAATTCAGGCGACGCAAGCTACTCGGTGAGGTTGTGAATTTCTTAATAACTTACAATAATTTTGTTTATGATATTGATTTAAAAAAAAAAAAACCAATCTAAATTTCATGAAATCATCATGTTTAAACAATAACATTAGGGCGGGTTTGGGAAATGTTATGAAGTAGAGGACAAAGAGGGAAGAGTACTCGCCGTAAAAGTCGTTGCCAAATCATCGTTACGAAGTTTAAAAAATAGAGATAAGGTGCAATATAACTGCCAAACTGATATATTATTATTTACAATTGCAAATTTGTTATAAAATCCTTAATTGCTTTTTAATTCCTTTTTTTACATATAGCTTCTTAGCGAGATCCAAATTCACAAGAAGATGGATCATCCGCATATAGTTAAATTTTATGAATGCTGTGAAGATCCTTCATTTGTGTACATGATAATGGAGCTTTGTGAAAATAAAGTATGTGATGTAGCAAAATATATTTTAATGTCGCGTAATTACGCGTACCTTTAATTTATAGATTAAAAATTTTAATCTTAATTAACAGACTTTAGCTTATATGAACAAAAGAAGACAACGGTTGACCGAAGCTGAAGTTCGTTATTTTATGCGTCAGCTCCTTGACGCATGCGAATATATGCATCGGAATTTTGTCATTCATCGTGATCTCAAGTTAGCGAATCTCTTTTTATCCAAAGATATGAAAATCAAGATCGGTGATTTTGGTTTAGCGGCCCAATTAGAACGCGAGGGTGACAGGAAAAAGTAATATCTATCTCGATAATAATGACTTTATTATTTAATGTTATATGTTCATTTCCTCTTTATATATAGAACGATATGCGGTACTCCAAATTATATCGCACCGGAAGTATTATTCGACCAAGTAAAGGGTCATAGTTTTGAAGCTGATGTGTGGTCTTTAGGCGTTATAATGTAAAAAATCGTTTATAAATATATTTTTAATATATTTATTCCTTTCATATAAGTTTTATAACTTTTTTATTATTTCCATAAATAGGTATACTCTATTGTTTGGTAGGCCACCTTTCCAAACGGAAGGAAAGGTTGATCAAATATACAAGTTGGTTTCAATCCTATGTATGTTGTTAAGGTCATTATTTTTACAATTCGGATTGAACCTGACTTTATTCCAATAGGAAAATCAAAGAATTAAAATATGACTTTCCAGGAAATATTAACGACGTTTCCAAAGAAGCGAAAGCATTAATTAATTTAATGTTAACATTGGATCCTGGTAGCTTTTAATAAAAAAAAATATTATTCATTTTAAAAGTTAAATATTAAATAGTTTAATGATCTTTTTTATTACTTAAGAAAAGCGACCAACAATTCAACAAGTTCGGGATCATGACTTCTTTCGTCTAGGAGTTACTCCATCTGAAATACCTGTATCAGCATTGACTATCGCGCCGAGTTTCGAGCTTCCTCCACTAACAAGGCCTCGCATTAATTTGTCCCTTGCCAATAGACGACCACTAAGAGTTATTCAAATTGGCACGAATCTGAATAATTTGAATTCTACTGCTGCTTCAGTTGCCAAGAAGTCTATTTATCCCGTTGAAGTAAAGCCTTTACCATTAAGATCCGAGAAAAAATTGGTTAATTCTGTGGCTTCAAAGCCTGAACCAAAACCAAATTCTACAGAAGCCCCTCTCATTTCAGCTTCCGCGATAAATTCTGCGCGTGTACAAAATATTGCAAATTCGATTGCAAATGCTATTGTCCCTAATTGTAATAATGCAAGTTCTACAAGTAGCACGTGCATCACCAAAAAAGATTCATCAAGTGAGACCTTTTTTTACTATTTTTTTCATGCAATTCATAGTCTATTCAACATGATATTTTGTTATCAGATAAAACAAGAGTCGGCGTTCTTGAATCAGTATATAATACTCTATCTACTGCATTTGATCAAATGTTAGAAGGAAAAGAAGTGTTACCGCACGTTTTCGATAGTTAGTAATATTTTATATGTTTCAATATATATATATGTGTGTTTTTTTTTTTTTTTTTTAATTATAATATAAACATTCATTATTAGAACAACCTACGACACCACTCGTGTTTATTAGTAAATGGATGGATTATACTAACAAGTATGGACTTGGATATCAGTTGACAGACGGTTCTGTTGGCGTGAATTTCAATGATAAAACTACATTGATAATGTCGCCAAATGGACAGTATGTGATCTTTATTTATAAACAAAATCTAGTCTTTTTTATAATTACTAATTTAAATGTGTTTATCTAAATAGCAATTGCGAGTATATATATAACAATAAAACCTCAGCAAATTGTATAGTGCCAACTCGTGAACCCTTCACTGTAAATGATTACCCGAAGGATTTGAGTAAAAAGCTTTATCTGTTACAGAATTTCCGCAATTATATGAATGAAGTTCTTCCAAAAATTAGCACCACTTACACATTTGTTGACAACAATCGAACCAATAACATGGAATTCTTGACAAAATATAAACGAACACCTCATGCTGTTCTTTTTAGGTTAAGCAACCGCCTAGTGCAGGTTTGTATAATTTATTGTTTCACAAGTAATTTTTCAAGATATTCTATATAATAAAAATATATATTATTCAAGGTAAATTTCTTTGACCATGAGAAGATCATACTTTCAGAAGAAGGTCGGGTAATAACATATATTGACGAAGCACGTGGAATTAACACACATACAATTTCCGAGATATTAAAAGGTGATCATGCAACAGAAAAAAATCGGCTGAAATACGTGAAAGACGTTTTAAAAAAACTTGTAGAAGCAGCTCATAAAAACAGTAAACCTGAGAGTAATAAAATTTAATTTGTGGTTGCTAATCAATAATATATATGCATATTTATTATTACATATTTGTGTGAATAATATGTTACTAATTTCATAATATATAGAATCTTCGATACGTAGTAATTTTTAATGTGCAAATCTTCCAGAATTACATCATGAACGATAATGTCGTATAGCACTGTATTCGATACGTAGTAATTTTAAATGTGCAAATATTCCAGAATTACATTATGAACGATAATGTCGTATAGCACTAATTGAAAGATCCAGAGCTTAAACATCCAACAAAAAAATTTATACCAGTTATATTATACGTACCATATTTGCGCCCAAGGCGTTATTTTGAGGCACACAATTCCCAGGGTGCTAAGAATTAATTTACTTGGTTCCCCAGGTGTAGATCACCGCCAATCCAGTTTCGGGAAACCTATATCCGGTTTTTTTTTTTAGATATAAAATTTAAAATTTATAATTACCAGCATTAGAGTTTGTCATCATACGACGGGCTATAAGGTACGTACGGAATAAAACGAATCTGTATTACAGTTGTTTCTATACATATAGGTTAATTTTGTTTATTAGACCTTTTTTTTGGGTCATTAAAACTGATAAAATTTGATCAGTCAATCGATACGTATGTTATTAAAAGTACCATAAATTTCAAAACTACATGTTAGAATTGCGTCTAACCGACCAATCAAAGCATGTCACCTTC